TTTGCTAGGTAGAGATTACTGTGCTGCTTGTGTTGCATATATGCCTCTGCATGTGAACTGGCCTAGTGGCACTTAGCTTGTGCTTAGAGTGTGTGGTGACATTGTGATCCACCTTGAGCTTGCTTTGCCTTTCTTGACTGGTCTTGTGATCCCTTGCTCTCCCCCACTTTGCCTACGGGGGTGTGTCAAATATTATATCTGCTACAATTTGTCTAGGCTATAGTGGGGTAGTTACTATGGGGTATAGTAAGATTAGGGTTTCCTACTTGTACCCAACTCTTTCCTAGTTCAATCACCCTTGTTCATTCTGACATCTCGAAGTCACGCTGTAAAATCAAAGATGCCAACTAGACGATCAGGATCTTTCAAGACTTTACATCCAAGTACGTTCGTCACATTCGTTGTACCTGGCTGCATTTACACGAGCGGTTGCGATGTAACAAAAGAATCATGTCTGCGTCTTTGCGCCGTCAACCACATCTGACAGTGACGAACATAGAAGCTGACAGGTTTGTTCCAGCGCAGGCGGCGTGGTTGCGCGTCCTCACGAAAGTGACCAATCATCGTCTTCGGAAACTTGGTCGTGGGTTTTTTTGGCGCTCACAATGCACCCGTGTACAGAAATTGGCTGGTAAAACTTTTACGTGCAAAAACAGAGTCCGCTAAGTATCAGGAAATCTAGTATTTGAACCCGGTATTCTTGATTTCGGTAATGTCAGAACATATATAGCTTATACTTTTGTGTAGGCTATAGTGAGGTATCCCATAGGGGGTACAACCCAATTAGGGTTAGTACTTGTACCCACTTCATTCATAGTTCATTCATTCTCGTTTGTATTTCCTCATGGTATCGAGCAGGTTCCCTCGTGGGAACTGCTCCTAGGGCCCACCAACCAAATTTTTTTTCCTGCCCGGGGCGCGTCCTGCCCCCTGCCTGAAGCGCGCCTAACCTAGCGGCGGCCCCTAGCGGCCCGTCACCCTTTCCGCAGCGGCCCGCCGCCGCCCTAAGACGGCACGTCGCCGCCCTTTCCGCAGCGGCCCGCCGCCGCCCTAAGGCGGCCCGTCGCCGCCCTTTTCGCAGCGGCCCACCGCCGCCCTAAAGCGGCCCGCCGCCGCTCTGTCCGCAGCGGCCCGCCGCCGCCCTAAAGCGGCCCATCGCCGCCCGTTCTGCAGCGGCCCGCCGCCGCCCTAAACCGGCCCGCCGCCGCCCGTTCTGCAGCGGCTCACCGCCGCCCTAAAGCGGCCCGCCGCCGCCCTTTCCGCAGCGGCCCGCCGCCGCCCTAAAGCGGCCCGCTGCCGCCCTTTCCGCAGCGGCCCGCTGCCACCCTTTCCGCAGCGGCCCGCCACCGCCCTAAAGCGGCCCGTCGCAGCCCGCTCCGCAGCGGCTCGACGCCGCCCCCCCCGCAGTGGCCTGCCGCCGCCCTACAGCGGCCCGTCGCCGCCCTATTCGCAGCGGCCCGCCGCCGCCCTAAAGCGGCCCGTCGCCGCCCGTCTCTGCTGCGGCCTCGCCGCCCTCACTGCGGCCTCGCCGCCCTCACTGCGGCCTCGCCGCCTTCTACTGCGGCCACGCCGCCCCTCTACTGCGGCCTCTGCCGCCCTTTGCTGCGGCCTCGCCGCCTTCACCTGCGGCTCTGCCACTGTCACCTGCGGCCTTGCCACCCTCTACTTCGGCCTCGTCGCCCTCTACTGCGGCCTCGCCGCCTCTCACCTGCTACAGCGCCGCGCCGCCCTGCAGCAGCACCGCCGAGCCGCCCGGGCACCGGAGCAGCCGGACAGCCGAGTCGCCGAGCCGCTCAGCAGCCGAGCCGCCCTGCAGCCGAGCCGCCGAGCCACCCCGCAGCCAAGCCGCCGAGCCGCCCTACTTCCGACCTGCCTGAGCTGCCCAGTCTGATGAGCACAGCGCCTCTTTCACTGCACTGCCCTCACCCTACTGCTTGCGCTGCTAGTCTACTGTCGTCATGGCTACCCCTAGTGTCCTAGCTTTTCACGCTGAGGGTCGGGCCATTGACTTCGAGGTCTGGGTAGATGATCTGCAGCTGTTCTTACTGTGCGATAGGGTAGACGGTCTCTCTCTCTTTGACCTTACCTCTGGCGCTTCCCCTGCCCCTCCTGCTGATGCTGACGCCACTGTTCGTTCCCAATGGGCCACGCGCGACGCTGCTGCACGTCTTGCTGTGCGTCGCCACCTCCCTACCTCCGAGCGTGCACACTTTAGTCAGTACAAGAGTGCTCAGACCTTGTACGACGCTGTAGTTGCACGCTACTCCTCCCCTGCCACTGCTGCACTGAGCCGTCTCATGCTGCCATACGTCTTCCCTGACCTTGCTGCCTTTCCCACAATCGCTGATCTCATTACGCACCTCCGCACTAGTGGCAATCGCTACCGCGCTACACTTCCTACTGACTTCTGCGCCAAGAACCCCCCCCCCCCCCATGTACATCACCCTCTACTTCATAGTCACCCGACTCCCTAACTCCCTTAGAGTGGTCAGGGACCACTTCCTAGCTGTGTGCCCCACCACCCTACCTCCGAGCGTGCACACTTTAGTCAGTACAAGAGTGCTCAGACCTTGTACGACGCTGTAGTTGCACGCTACTCCTCCCCTGCCACTGCTGCATTGAGCCGTCTCATGCTGCCATACGTCTTCCCTGACCTTGCTGCCTTTCCCACAGTCGCTGATCTCATTACGGACCTCCGCACTAGTGGCACTCGCTACCGCGCTGCACTTCCTACTGACTTCTGCGCCAAGAACCCCCCCCCCCCCCCCCCCCCCCCCCATGTACATCGCCCTCTACTTCATAGTCACCCGACTCCCTGACTCCCTTAGAGTGGTCAGGGACCACTTCCTAGCTGTGTGCCCAACCACCCTCACCATTGACCTCCTCGAGAAGTCCCTCCTAGCGGCGGAGAAGAGCATAGTCGCTGTAGGAGCTTCTCGTGGTGACCCCCGCACCCCTGTCTTTGAGGGGTGTTCTCCCTCCCCCCTCTTGCCCTCTGTCGCTTCTGCTGCTGCGGCCGACCTCGTTGGTTTTGAGTCGGTCGGCGCTGCGTCTGCCCCTTCGGGGAAGCACCGCACAGGCAGGGGCAAGGGGGGCAAGGGCGCTGGAGGAGCTGGTGGAGGCGGTGGAGGTGGCGGTGGAGGCGGCGGAGGGAGTGGGGATGGTGGAGGGAGTGGTGGAGGGGGTGGGGGTACCGGTGGCGGCAGTGGGGGCGGAGGCGGCGGCGGTGGCGGAGGGAGCGGAGGAGGCGGTGGTAGTGGAGGCGGCGGTGGTGGTGGAGGCGGCGGTGGTGGCGGAGGCGGCGGAGGCGGCGGAGGGGGCGGAGGTGGCAGTGGAGCTGGTCGCGGGTCTACGCAGAGGAGTGGCTCCGGTAGTGGTCCGCGCTAGCAGCATCAGCGTGGTCGTGAGACCCATTCCCCTCAGCAGCTCCGTGAGTGGTACACTGCACGCCAGCGGGGTGGGGGTTTTGGTCCGTGCACCTACGTCCTGCGCACCAGCGACCGTGCCGGTGAGCAGTGTGGGGGTGCGCACCCCACCCAGCGCTGCTTTGGCCGCCTGACGGACGCGTGGCGTCACCAGTTCCCTGAGGCCACAGAGATCCCTCGCTGGGGCGAGCTGTCTAGGGCGGGAGTAGCCATCTATGATCTTGATTTTGATGCTATCTTGTCTGCCATGTATTCTGTGACTATTAGTGATGAGGGTGACTATTACCGGTGTTTCCCGCCCGATCGGGGCATTGAGACTGCTGCTCGAGGTACTAGTGCGGCTGCTACCCTAGGTGCTTGCGACGCTGCTGCTCTAGGTGCTAGTGCGTCTTCGTCCTCAGGTACTGGTGAGTCTGCGCTCTCAGGTACTGCGTTGGCTTCGGCCTCCCTCACCTTCACCCTTGAGTCTGGAGCTTCTCGCTCCTTCTTTCGGGACCGCACCACACTCACGCCGCTCAGTCGGCCGGTTGCTGTGTCTCTGGCTGACCCCTCTGGGGGTCCTTGTCAGAACATTATAGCTTACTTATTTGTGTAGGCTATAGTGGGGTATCCCATAGGGGGTACAACCCAATTAGGGTTTCCTATTTGTACTCACTTCACTCATAGTCATTTCATTCACGTTTCTATTTTCACATGGAATCAGAGCAGGTCCCATCCTAGGGACTGTTCTCTAGGGCCCACCGAAGCGCGCCCCGAGGCGCGCGTTCTTTTTTTTTTCTCGCGACCCTCCGTGTCGCCCTTCCCCTCGCGGCCCCGCCGCCTCCTCGACGCGGCCCCGCCGCCTCCTCGACGCGGCCCCGCCGCCTCCTCGACGCGGCCCCGCCGCTTCCCTACCTGCGGCCCACCCGCCGCCCTACCTGCGGCCGTCCCGCCGCCCTGCCTGCGGCTGTCCGCCGCCCTACCTGCGGCCGTCCCGCCGCCCTACCTGCGGCCCACCCGCCGCCCTACCTGCGCCCCACCCGCCGCCCTACCTGCGGCCGTCCCGCCGCCCTACCTGCGGCCTACCCGCCGCCCTACCTGCGGCCGTCCGCCGCTCTACCTGCGGCCTTCCCGCCGCCCTACCTGCGGCCCACCCGCCGCCTTACCTGCGGCCCACCCGCCGCCCTACCTGCGGCCCACCCGCCGCCCTACCTGCGGCCGTCAGCCGCCCTACTTGCGGCCCACCCGCCGCCCTACCTTCGCGGCCCAGCCGCCCTACCTACGCGGCCCAGCAACAGCCGAGCCGCCGAGCCGCCCAGCAGCAGCCGAGCCGCCCAGTAGCAGCCGAGCCGCCCAGCAGCAGCCGAGCCGCCCAGGAGCCGCCGAGCCGCCCAGCAGCAGCCGAGCCGCCCAGCAGCAGCCGAGCCGCCCAGCTGCAGCCGAGCCGCCCGGGAGCCGAGCCGCCCAGCAGCCTAGCCGCCGAGTCGCCAGGCGACCTTCCTCCCGAGCCATCCGACCTGCCCTGCCCGGTGAGCACCGCACCGCTGTCACTGCGTACCCTTCCCCTACTGATTGCACTGCTCCACTGTCGTCCTCATGGCTACACCCAGTGTCCTCGCTTTTGACGCTGAGGGTCGAGCCATTGACTTTGAGGTCTGGCTCGACGACCTGCAGCTGTTTTTACAGTGCGATAGGGCGGACGGTCTGTCTCTCTTTGACCTCACCTCTGGTGCCGTCCCTGCCCCTGCTACTGATGCTGACGCCACTGTTCGCTCTCAGTGGGCCACGCGCGATGCTGCTGCACGTCTTGCTGTGCGTCGCCACCTGCCTACCGCTGAGCGCGCGCACTTTAGCCAGTACAAGAGTGCTCAGACCTTGTACGACGCTGTAGTTGCGCGCTACTCCTCCCCTGCCACTGCTGCACTAAGCCGCCTCATGCTCCCCTTCCTCTTCCCTGACCTTGCCGCCTTTCCCACAGTCGCTGATCTCATCACGCACCTCCGCACTAGTGACACTTGCTACCGCGCTGCGCTTCCTGCTGACTTCTGCGCCAAGAACCCCCCCCCCCATGTACATCACTCTCTACTTCTTAGTCAGTCGCCTCCCTGACTCCCTTCGTGTAGTCCGGGACCACTTCCTCGCGGTCTGTCCCACCACCCTCACAGTCGAAAGCCTCGAGAAGGCCCTCCTTGCAGCGGAGAAGAGCATAGTTGCTGTAGGAGCCTCTCGGGGTGACCCCCGCGCCCCCATCTTTGAGGGGTGTTCTCCTTCCCCTCTCCTGCCCTCTGTCGCCTCTGCCGCTGCGGCCGACCTCGTTGGTCTTGAGTCGGTCGGTGCGGCGTCTGCCCCTAGTGGGAGACGCCGCTCTGGCAAGGGCAAGGGGGGCAAGGGAGCGGGTGGGGCCAGTGGGGGCGGCGGCGGTGGAGGTGGAGGCGGCGGAGGGAGTGGGGGTGGCGGTGGAGGTGGCAGCGGGGGTGGGAGTGCTAGTGGCGGCAGTGGAGGCGGCGGGGGTGGCGGCGGCGGTGGCGGTGGTAGCGGAGGTGGCGGAGGTGGCGGCGGTGGAGGCGGAGGCGGGGGCAGGGGTGGCGGAGGTGGAGGTGGTCGGAGTGGAGCTTCGCAGCGGAGCGGCACTGGGGGCGGTCAGCGCCAGCATCAGCAGCAGCAGCGTTCTTGCGACGTCCCCACCCCTCAGCAGCTCCGTGAGTGGTACACGCAGCGTCAGCGCAGTGGGGGTTTTGGTCCCTGCACCTACGTTCTCCGCACTGGCGACCGCACTGGAGAGCAGTGTGGGGGTGCCCACCCCACCCAGCGCTGCTTTGGCTGCGTGACGGACGCTTAGCGCCAGCAGTTCCCGGAGGCCGCGGAGATCCCCCGCTTGGGAGAGCTGTCTAGGGCTGGTGTAGCTATCTTTGATCTTGATTTTGATGCTATCCTTGCTGCCATGTATGCTGTGACCATTAGTGATGAGGGTGACTGTTACCGGTGTTTCCCGCCCGATCCGGGCATTGGTACTGCTGCTCTAGGTACCGGTGAGGCTTCTGCTCTAGGTGCCAGTGCGTCTGTGCTCTCAGGTGCTGGTGAGGCGGCTCTCTCAGGTACTAGTGCGTCTGCGCTCTCAGGTACTGCGTCGGCTTCGGCCTCCCACACCTTCACCCTTGACTCTGGAGCGTCTCGCTCTTTCTTTCGGGACCGCACCACATTCACGCCGCTTAGTCGGCCGGTTGCGGTTTCCCTGGCTGACCCCTCTGGGGGTCCTGTCCTGTCTCGCTTCTCCACAGTCCTCCCGTGTCCGGCGGCTCCCTCTGGCACCCTGTCTAGTCTCTACCTCCCCTCGTTCTCTACGAACTTGGTGAGTGGTGCTGACCTGCAGGATGCGGGAGTCCACCAGTTCACCCCTGCTCGTCAGCGAGTGACGCACTGCACAGAGGCTAGCACGGTTCGTCAACTGGCTACGTTTACACGTCAGCCAGGGTCGAGCCTGTACACACTGACCACTGCTTCTCCTCCAGTTCTTGAGTCTAGTCGGGTCCCTTCGTCTGGTCAGGTGTTTGCTGCAGCGTCCAGGTCTGGTCCTGAGTTCGCCCCCTGTTCGTGTCGCCGTCTGTCTCACGAGACCCTCCTCTGGCACCACCGCCTTGGCCACCCCTCTCTGCTTTGGCTCAGAGGCATGGCCTCCCGTCTTCTTGTGTCTGGTCTCCCCCGGTCCCTCCCTCCCCTTCCTCAGGGCCCCGGCCCTGCCTGTGTCCCCTGTGTCGAGGGGCGCCAGCGTGCTGCCCCTCACTCCTCCCAGTTTCCTCCGACAGAGGCTCCGCTGCAGACGCTTCACATGGACGTGTGGGGCCCTGCCCGCGTCCGTGGACTCGGTCACGAGCGCTACTTCCTGTTGGTGGTTGACGACTACTCGCGTTACACCACAGTCTTCCCCTTGCGCAGCAAGGGTGATGTCACTGAGGTGCTGATCGACTGGATCCGCGCAGCTCGTCTCCAGCTTAGGCAGAGCTTTGGCTCGGACTTTCCTGTGTTGCGTCTGCACTCGGACAGAGGCGGAGAGTTCTCCTCTGGCCTTCTGCGTGCCTTCTGTCGTGCGCGAGGCATCCGCCAGACCTTCACGCTTCCGGACTCACCGCAGCAAAATGGGATTGCTGAGCGCCGCATTGGCATGGTCATGGACGTCGCTCGTACGTCCATGATGCATGCGGCTGCCCCCCATTTTCTGTGGCCGTTTGCGGTCAGGTACGCGGCGCATCAGCTCAACCTCCACCCCAGGGTCTCCAGGCCGGAGACCTCCCCAGCCCTGCTGTGGACGGGGAAGGTTGGCGATGCGTCGGCGTTCCGGGTCTGGGGATCTTGGGCGTTTGTCCGCAACTTGTCTTCGGACAAGCTGTCCCCTCGCGCTGCTCCCTGCGTCTTCCTGGGGTTCCCCCCCGACGCCCCTGGGTGGCAGTTCTACCACCCCACCTCTCAACGTGTTCTGTCCTCCCAGGACGTCACGTTCGACGAGTCGGTACCCTACTACCGCCTCTTCCCCTACCGCACTCCGTCCCTTCCCCCGCCCCCGCTCTTCTTGGTACCAGGTCCCCCCCCCGGTAGAACCCCTCCCCCCTCAGGGTCCTGCCCCTTCAGGTGTGTCCCAGGTAGACACGGTCGAGCCTGTCGAGGTCACTGGTGACTCTGGTGCTGCTGCGGGAGCTGAGCCTGGGGGTGCTGGGACTGGAGGTGCTACGCTTGGGGGTGCTGAGCCTAGGGGTGCGGAGTCTGGGGGTGCTGAGCCTGGGGGTGCTGAGCCTGGGGGTGCTGAGCCTGGGGGTGCTGAGCCTGGGGGTGCTGAGCCTGGGGGTGCCGAGCCTGGGGGTGCTGTGCCTGGGGGTGCTGTGCCTGGGGGTGCCGAGTCTGGGGGTGCTGTGCCTGGGGGTGCTGAGCCTGGAGGTGCTGAGACTGGGGGTGCTCCGCCTGGAGGTGCTTCGTCTTGCCGGGAGCCTCTCTCCCTACAAGAGCTACGTGAGTGGTTTGCCCAGCGCTATAGGCGTGCTGCTGGTGCTGGAGGTTCTTCGGCTGCAGAGGGTGCTGGAGCTGCTAGGCCTGAGGGTCCTCCTGGAGCTAGTGCTGCTGAGGGTGTTGGCGCTGAGTCTACTTGTGGCGGTCCGACTGGCAGTGCTCCTGGTACTGCTGGGGGTTCTGGAGCTGCTGGAGGTGCTGCTGGAGCGGGTACTCCGGCTGGGGGTACTGGTGCTGTCCCTACTGTCTCTGGCGTCGCCACGCGGCCCCGACCGTACTTCGTTCCGCTCCTGCAGCAGGTTCTTGGTCTTCCACCTTCTCCTGGTCCTCCTCCTCCTCCCTTAGAGGGTCCACAGCCTGTCCAGTCCCAGTCACAGCTATAGCCTGCCTCCCCTTTGCCTGCTCCTTCTCCCTACGCTGGTCCGACTGGAGGTCTTACTGAGCGTCGTGAGCCTGCGTCTCGTCCTGCGTCGCCTGTTCGTCCTGCATGCACTAGTGGCCGCGGTTCACGTCAGCGTCCTCCTCCTGTCCCTGGCACGTACCGGATGTCTCTGCGTCCGTCCACTGCTCCTCTGCGTGCCCCGTTGCCTTCTCCTCCTGCTTCCTCTCTTCCTACTCTTGCCGACCCGGCGTCGGACTCTCTTCGTGCTGCCAGTCCTACTGTCACGCGTCTCCTTGCTACTGCTGTCACCGACCCTTCTTTTGAGCCGTCTGCTGCGTCTGCCCTTGTCAATGAGCTCGTCGACTTTGCTGCGCGCTGTCGTCTAGATTACGCTGCTAGTCTTGTCGCTGAGTCTGAGTCTGCCTGTCGTCCGTCCGTCGGGGGTGAGTGTGCCCTTGGCACGAACGTCCTTCAGGACAGGCAGGAGGATTTCCAGTGCCAGGCCGCCGCTTCACCTCATCTTGCGTCTGTACTGCTAGTCCCTGAGGGAGACCCGGATGCACTAGACATCCCGACTCCGCGCTCTTACGCGGAGGTGATAGAGGGTCCCTACTCCTCTTAGTGGCAGGCAGCTATGGATGCAGAGATGGCTTCCTGGAAGTCCACAGGCACCTACGTTGACGCTGTTCCCCCTCCTGGGGCGAACATCGTCAGTGGCATGTGGATCTTCTGGGTGAAGCGGCCGCCGGGCTCTCCGCCTGTCTTCAAGGCGCGTTACGTGGCTCGTGGCTTCAGTCAGCGGCAGGGAGTTGACTACTTTCAGACCTTCTCCCCCACCCCGAAGATGACCACTCTTCGGGTACTGCTGCACGTTGCTGCTCACCGTGACTACGAGCTGCACTCTCTCCACTTCAGCACCGCTTTCTTGCAGGGCAGCCTGCACGAGGAGATCTGGCTGCGTCGCCCACCTGGCTTCACTGGGTCTTTCCCTCCTGGTACCCAGTGGAGTCTCCGGCGTCTAGTCTACGGTCTTCGCCAGGCGCCACGTGAGTGGCACGACACACTGAGGACTACGCTGGCGGCACTTGGGTTTGCTCCTTCTACTGCCGACCCGTCGCTGTTTCTGCGCACCGACACCTCTCTGCCGCCGTTCTACATCCTCGTGTACGTTGATGACTTGGTCTTTGCCATAGCTGACACTGCTGGACTCGCCTACGTGAAGTCCGAGCTGCAGAAGAGACACACGTGCACTGACCTGGGTGAACTGCGCAGCTACCTTGGCTTGCAGATCACCCGGGACAGAGCACGCCGCACCATTACCTTGACTCAGTCACACATGGTGCAGCAGGTCCTTCAGCGCTTCGGCTTCACGTACTCCTCGCCTCAGGCCACTCCTCTGCCTACTCGCCACTCGCTCTCAGCTCTGCCTTCGGATGAGTCCGTAGAGTCGAGTGGTCCGTATGCAGAGCTTGTTGGCTGCCTCATGTACGTGATGACCTGCACACGACCTGACCTTTCATACCCTCTTAGCATTCTCGCACGCTATGTTGCTCCTGGGAGACACCGACCAGAGCACATGGCTGCAGCGAAGAGGGTGTTGCGCTACTTGTGCAGTACGTCGAGCATGGGGCTAGTGCTTGGAGGGCGCAATCCAGTGGTCCTCACTGGGCACGCGGACGCTTCTTGGGCTGACGACGAGGCTACTCAGCGGTCGTCACAGGGTTACACCTTCAGCCTTGGTTCCGGCTCTGTTTCGTGGCGGGCTACCCGCTCGTCTTCTGTTCTCGGCTCCAGTTGTGAGGCTGAGATCTACGCCGGGGCTATGGCTGCTCAGGAGCTTCGCTGGCTCACCTACCTGCTGACCGACCTTGGAGAGCCGCCTAGTTCTCCTCCAGTCCTGTACGTAGACAACAAGGCCATGCTGGCCTTGTGTCGAGAGCAGCGACTGGAGCACAGGACAAAGCACATTGCTCTCGGCTACTTTCTTGCTCATGAGCTACAGCAGCGTGGATAGTTGCGACTTGCGTACGTGGCCTCTGAGGCCAACACTGCTGATGTCTTCACCAAGGCACTTGCGCCTTGTGATCATCAGCGTTGCTGCACGCAGCTTGGTCTTGTGCCTGTCTTGCCTCACTTGCTCACTTCTTGACCTTGCTTGTACCTTTACCTATATATACTCTTGCTCTTGCTTGTTTGCCTCTTGTATATCTCTATATATGATCTTGCATGTGAACTGGCCTTGTGGCCCTTGAACTTGTGCTCGGAATGTGTGGTGACTTTGTGATCCACCCTGAGCTTTGCTTTACTTTGCTTGACTGGTCTTGTGACCCCTTGTTCTCCCCCACTTTGCCTATGGGGGTGTGTCAGAACATTATAGCTTACTTATTTGTGTAAGCTATAGTGGGGTATCCCATAGGGGGTACAACCCAATTAGGGTTTCCTATTTGTACTCACTTCACCCCTAGTCATTTCATTCACGTTTCTATTTTCACAGTCCTGTCCTGTCTCACTTCTCCATAGTCCTCCCGTGTCCGGCGGCTCCCTCTGGCACCCTGTCCTGTCTCTACCTCCCCTCGTTCTCTACGAACTTGGTGAGTGGTGCTGACCTACAGGATGGGGGAGTCCACCAGTTCACTCCTGCGAGTCGGCGAGTGACGCACTGTACAGAGGCTCGCACAGGCCGAAACCTGGCTACGTTTACACGTCAGCCGGGGTCGAGCCTGTACACACTGACCACTGCGTCTCCTCCAGTTGTTGCGTCTGGTAGGGTGTCTGCGTCAGGTCAGGTGTTTGCTGCAGCGTCCAGGTCTGGTCCTGAGTCTGCCCACTGTTCGTATCGTCTCCTCTCTCACGAGACTCTCCTCTGGCACCACCGCCTTGGTCACCCCTCTCTGCTTCGGCTTAGAGGCATGGCCTCTCGTCTTCTTGTTTCTGGTCTCCCCAGGTCCCTCCCTCCCCTTCCTCAGGGGCCTGGCCCTTCCTGTGTCCCCTGTGTCGAGGGGCGCCAGAGGACTACCCCTCACTCCTCCCAGTTTCCTCCGACAGAGGCCCCGCTGCAGACGCTTCACATGGACGTGTGGGGCCCAGCCCACGTCCGTGGACAGGGTCACTAGCGCTACTTCCTGCTTGTTGTTGACAATTTCTCGCGTTACACCGCAGTCTTCCCCTTGCGCAGCAAGGGTGATGTCACTGAGGTGCTGATCGACTGGATCCGCGCAGCTCCTCTCCAGCTCAGGCAGAGCTTTGGCTCGGACTTTCCTGTTCTGCATCTGCACTCGGACAGAGGCGGAAAGTTTTCCTCTGGCCTTCTGAGAGCCTACTGTCGCGCACGAGGCATCCGTCAGACCTTCACGCTTCCGAACTCTCCGCAGCAAAATGGGATCGCTGAGCGCCGCATTGGCATGGTCATGGACGTCGCTCGTACGTCCATGATGCATGTGGCTGCCCCCCATTTTCTGTGGCCGTTTGCGGTGAGGTACGCGGCGCATCAGATCAACCTCCACCCCAGGGTCTCCAGGCCGGAGACCTCCCCAGCCTTGCTGTGGACGAAAAAGGTTGGCGATGCGTCGGCGTTCCGGGTCTGGGGATCTCGGGCGTTTGTCCGCGACTTGTCTGCGGACAAGCTGTACCCTCGTGCTGCTCCTTGCGTCTTCCTGGGGTTCCCCCCTGACGCGCCTGGGTGGAAGTTCTACCACCCCACCTCTCGCCGTGTTCTGTCCTCCCAGGACGTCACGTTTGACGAGTCGGTCCCCTACTACCGCCTCTTCCCCTACCGCACTCCGTCCCTCCCCCCGCCCCCGCTCTTCCTTGTCCCAGGTCCCCCCCCGGTAGACCCCTCCCCCCTCAGGGTCCTGCCCCCTCAGGTGTGTCCCAGGTAGACGCGGTCGAGCCTGTCGAGGTTACTGGCGACTCTGGTGCTGCTGAGGGTGCTGAGCCTGGGGGTGCTTAGACTGGGGGTGCTGAGCCTGGGGGTGCTGCGACAGGGGTTGCTGAGCCTGGGGGTGCTGAGCCTGGGGGTGCTGCGACTGGGGGTGCTGAGCCTAGGGGTGCTTAGATTGGGGGTGCTGCGACTGGGGGTGCTGAGCCTGGGGGTGCTACGTCTGGGGGTGCTGAGCCTGAGGGTGCTGAGCCTGAGGGTGCAGAGCCTGGAGGTGCTACGCCTGGAGGTCCTCCGGGGGCTTCGTCTCGCCGGGATCCACTCTCTCCACCGGAGCTGCGCGAGTGGTTTTCCCGGCGCTGGAGGCGTGTTGCTGGAGCTGGAGGTTCTTCGGATGCTGAGGGTGCTGGTGCTGCGGGTCCCGGAGGTGCTCGTACTGGGAGTACTGGAGCTGCTGGGCCTACGGGTTCGACTGGAGCTGGTGCTGCTTCGGGCGTTGGTGCTGAGCCTACTGCTCGCGGTCCTGCTGGGGGTACTACTGGTACTGCTGGAGGTTCTTGAGCTGCTGAAGGTACTGCTGGAGCGGGTGCTCTTGCTGGAGGTACAGGTGTTATCCCTGCTGTGTCTGGCGTCGCCGCGCGGCCTCGACCGTACTTCTGTTCCACTCCGGCAGCAGGTTCTTGGTCTTCCACCTTCTACAGGTCCTCCTCCTTCTTTAGAGTTACAGCCTGTCCCGTCACAGCTACAGTTACAGCCTGCCTCCCCACTACCTGCTCCCTCTCCCTACACTGGTCCTACTGGAGGTCTTGCTGAGCGTCGTGAGCCTGCGTCTCGTCCTGCGTCGCCTCTTCGTGCTGCTCGCACTAGTGGTCGCGGTTCGCTGTCAGCGTCCTCCTCCTGTCCCTGGCACGCACCAGATGTCTCTGTGTCCATCCACTGCTCCCTCTGCGTGCCCCTTTGCCTTCTCCTCCTGCGTCCTCTCTTCCTCCTCTTGCCGACCCGGAGTCGGACTCTCTTCGTGCTGCAAGTCCTACTGTCACGCGTCTCCTTGCTACTGTCGTCACTGACCCTTTCTTTGAGTCACTACTGCGTCTGCCCTAGTTGCTGAGCTCGTCGACTTTGCTGCTCGCTGTCGCCTAGACTACGCTGCTAGTCTTGTCGCTGAGTCTGAGTCTGTCTGTCCTCCGTCCGTCGAGGGTGAGTGTGCCCTTGGCACGGACGTCCTTGAGGACAGGCAGGAGGAGTTCCAATGTCTGGCCGCTGTTTCACCTCATCTCGTTGTCCATACTGCTTACCCCTGAGGGAGACCCGGATGCACTTGACATCCCGACTCCGCGCTCTTACGCGGAGGCGATAGAGGGTCCCTACTCTTCTCAGTGGCAGGCAGCTATGGATGCAGAGATGGCTTCCTGGAAGTCCACAGGCACCTACTGTTGACGCTGTCCCCCCTCCTGGGCGAACATCGTCAGTGGCATGTGGATCTTCAGGGTGAAGCGGCCGCCGGGTTCTCCGCCTGTCTTCAAGGCACGGTACGGGGCTCGTGGCTTCAGTCAGCGGCAGGAAGTTGACTACTTTCAGACCTTCTCTCCCACCCCGAAGATGACCACTCTTCGGGTACTACTGCACGTTGCTGCTCAGCGTGACTACGAGCTGCACTCTCTCGACTTCAGCACAGCTTTCTTGCACGGCAGCCTGCACGAGGAGATCTGGCTGCGTCGCCCACCTGGCTTCACTGGGGTCGTTCCCTCCTGGTACCCAGTGGAGTCTCCGGCATCCATTCTACGGTCTCCGCCAGGCGCCCCGTGTGAGTGGCACGACACACTGAGGACTACACTTGCGGCTCTTGGGTTTGCTCCTTTTACTGCCGACCCGTCGCTGTTTTCTATGCGCACTGGACACTTCTCTGCCGCCTTTCTACATCCCGTGTATGTCCACGACTTGGTCTTTGCCACTGCTGACACTGCTGGACTCGCCTACGTGAAGTCGAGCTACAGAAGTAGACAACGTGCACAGACCTGGTGAACTGCGCAGCTACCTTGGCTCTTGCAGATCACCCGAGACAGAGCACGTCGCACCATTACCTTGATCTCAGTCACACATGGTGCAGCAGGTCCTTCAAGCGCTTTCGGCTTCCACGTACTCCTCGCCTCAGGCCACTCCTCTGCCTACTCGCCCTCTCTCTCAGCTCTGCCTTCGGATGAGTCCGTAGAGTCGAGTGGCCCGTATCCAGAGCTGTTGGCTGCCTCATGTACCTGATGACCTGCACTCGACCTGACCTTGCATACCCTCTTAGCATTCTCGCACGCTATGTTGCTCCTGGTGAGACACCCGACCAGAGCACATGGCTGCAGCGAAGAGGGTTGGTTGCGCTACTTGTGCAGTACGTCGGCATGGGGCTAGTGCTTGGAGGGCGCAGTCCCACTGGTCCTCACTGGGCACGCAGACGCTTCCTGGGCTGACGACCAGGCTACCCAGCGGTCGTCACAGGTTACACCTTCACTCTTGGTTCCGGCTCTGTCTCGTGGCGGGCTACTCGCATCGTCTTCTGTTCTCGGCTCCAGTTGTGAGGCTGAGATCTACGCCGGGGCCATGGTGCACAGGAGCTTCGCTTGGCTCACCTACCTGTGACCGACCTTGGAGAGCCGCGTCGTTCTCCTCTT